AAGCACCCAATGCCTTGAATCCTAAACATTTGAATGTAGACTACCAGAAACACATGTGACTAAACTCTTGGATGAACATGCAACTGTGCGACTTCATTTTGTGTGACTATCCCCTTATTCAATGTTTCAACGAAGCAACATTTATTTATATTGCCCTCTTATTCCATGGTGTCTCATGCATGGCTCACCATTGTGTGGCGCCAGCAATTTGAGAAAGAAAAGGTTATTTTTCTGTACTATTCCAGACTATTAGCCATGATGCTTTACAGACACGGACGGGGGGATCAATAGTTCTAACCAAATATTGGTCTTGTTATTTAAATGTCTCTAGATTCTGGAAAATGCAGAGGACTGAAATTTAAATGTGTGGTGTTAAAGGACTGACTGTTTGACATTTCTAACATACAAGGTTTTGCCAGGGCTGTGTGTGTGTGTGTATTTTGTACGCTGCTCATACTCTCAGGAAATTACAGTACATTTCCGGAAATAATTTGTTGGCAGTTCTTTTAGTGCAGTCTGGCTCTTTGATTAAGAATTTGCACATTCAAACTGTTGTAGAAACTGTGCCAAGGCAATCAGGAAAAATGTATTGTCATTAGAAAGGAAACCAGAGTGGCATGCTACAGAAATTCATAACTGAAAGAGTCTGAGAGGGCAGGTGGTTCACCTGTCGTGGTGGTTTCAACGTTTCCTCTGTTTTAACTCCCTGTGAATTTCACATTTCTTCAACTCACACTCACAACATGATAGGATCATGCTTGCCACCTGCTATTGTCACTGCTGCAGGCCATTACAATATACTTAAGGGTAAGCGTATGCCTTTCTCGTTCACTCCGAGATTGCACTATACTAATAACGCCCATCTGTCATGAAGACCATGAATTAGTTAGTGCATCTGTACCAACACCTCAGAGCCGTGCTGCTGGCTTGTTCTGCTGTTGGTTTGTGAACACACATTAAGCGCAGCAGAAGTGACGTGAAGCAACCCAAATTGGAGGATATACTGATAATGATTTCACAGAGGAACGAGCATGAAACTGGAGATGGGTGACAGGCGAGGCGTCAGATATTTGAAGTGTCGGTAAATCATGAGCAGCACCGTGACAGCCTTAACAACATGAGGTTTTGTCTTTCTCCAAGTATCACCGTGCAACTCGGAGTCACAATTTAATACTCAGTATTTTTTGGAGTTATATAAACAGTCCCCTGTGGAATTCAGGCACAATGTTCCGATTAGTAGAAAAAAAAAATCACCTTCTGTTTTTTAATCTTACCTACCTGAAGCAAACATGTGATGTGATGTTTTGTTTTTCCATCATAGTTTGTTGATTCAGGGCAGTAAAAGATGCATTTTGCTCTAGTACTGTGTCACCTGCCACTTTGGATACATTCAAACACATTTTGGTGTGGATGTATAGCCTCTGGTTCTGAAATATGAAGCTAATGTGCCTCAAATATGAATTATTTCTGATGGCCATATAGGGGGACGACTGAGCGATCTGATTGTAAAGAAGTCTATGAGAAAATGACCCAACTTCTGACGTGAGTATATTATCTCAGTTATCATTTGCTAATAGAGTTTTGTTCACATTGCTAGTTTGAAGTCATCTTCAATACAGCATAATGCTTATTTTGTAAATTGTGTCTTATTAAGGGTAAAAGCACACAATAAAGCAGTGTATGCTTCAGTGCATAAAGCTACATCGTGATTGACAGGTCGCTAATAAAGTGCTCCACCCCCTGGTCCAAATATGGTCAGTCTCCAAAAAAACAAGATGAAAAAACCTAAATTGCCAAACTTTAAACTCTTAGCTCACAAACTAATGTGTGACCTCACAGTGGATACGTCTACTTATTTTTGACAGATTATGAATAAATGCTTGTTCGCACACGTTTTTTTAACTTGTTAAAAAGGTGTGGTAATAGGAAACCTATTTATTATTATTTTCAGTTTTGTTAGTTCTCAGGCTCACTTTGAGTAGCCTTTAATGAGTTTCGATGCTGTGCAGTGAGGAAAAAAAAGAAAAAGGTGTTAGTAATATCTTGACATTTCACATTTCATAGTCGTTGAAATGTTATTATTCTCACCAATATGGTAGCCTACACCTCAGCATTTAGGCAGCGCAAATCATGACCAATAAGGATTTTACCTCTCGGCTTACATTTCACTTGCTCCTTTCAAATTAATTACATAACTAATGAAACATGTGTGCACAGTCTGGTTCCCAGCTCAATGCCCAGCAGGATTGTCCTCATCACCAAAGACAAATTAAAACCTCTAAAGGCCAACGACAGCACACACCAACAGACTCTTCCACTGTTAAAAAAAAAACAGCCACTTGCTTTGATCTCACACTTGTTAAAATAAGAACTGAGTTTCCATAGCATTCAGCATGCAAATGATGCTGTATCTCCATAGGAGGACACTCAAAACAACAGTCCTCTTAAATACTCCACTTGTTGTAAGTAAAAGGAAAACAAGGATCCCGGCTAAAGTAGCACGAGCGTTGTTATTGTATCTAGGTCAGAAGAGTGCAATATTCTAGTCCATATGCAGTTTCACAGCTGTGCTTTGGATGTGAGGCAGCAGTAGTAGCAGGAGCTGTTCCACCTTAATGTACTCCTTACAGCACTGCCATATGGAAATAGGTTCTCCTCCTGTTTTCAACAATAACAGTCATTGTGTTTATCGCCTCTTATCCCACAACACATGTACTTACAGTATAAGAGGAAGAAAAACACACATAAGGAACACGAGCAGATGGATACAGAATAGGAGAGGGAAAAAAAAGAGTAATTCAACAGTCAGAGGAGGGGAGCCAAGATGGATAATGATGCAGAAAAAGGGGATGCATGACAGAGATACACATCTTATTTAGCGTTTACCTGACAGGGAATCAGAAGACATGCTCTCTTGCTGCTGCATCTTGAATGTTGGCTCCAGTGTGAGACTGTGTGTGTGTGTCCACAAGCCACAGAGTGTGAGCAAGCCAGCACGCCTCACTGTGTGTTTTGATGACGGAGTCCACGTAGCAGCTGAGGGAGTGAGCGAGGGAGCATCAGAGCCAGGAGGAAGGTACAGAGGGAGAAGCAATAGGATTCTTCTGTACCTCGCCAAGTGTCACCAATCTCATTCTCAATTTCTCTCTTTCTCATTCTCATTTTCTGGGAGTGTGTAAGTCTTGCGCAAAACACATGGACTGCAGATGGTGATTTATGAGGTACACAGAGGCAGGGAGATGGGAGGAGCATGAGGAGGGAGAAGAGGAGGTGCTGAAGAGAGGAAGGAAGCAATCACCTTGTAGTGTAAGCTTACTCTCTGAGGCACTGAGCCATTACTTGTCCCTCCCTTCAACGTTAGCCTGCCACGCAGAGCGCTAAACCAATTCAGACCTTACATGTACCACAACATCAGTTTGGCTGTGTGTCAGAGATCTATCTTATCTGAATTTGTAGCCAGTAAATCTTAAATGTCAAAATGCCACTATGTTTGCATAAGATGAATCCACACATTACAAAGACCTACTTCAGAGCAGAGTCTACTTGTTATTAGTCCAACATCCTTAATAATATTGTCCTCGACTGCATGTACGATGAATTAAAGGCGTCTTTTACTCTTGATTAAAACCCTGTATCTATTAGAGGACACCAGGTCTGGTATGCAAATTCAATCAGTGGCGGAAAGTAACTAAGTACTTTTACTCAAGTAACGTACTTTTACAATTTGTAAGTACTATTTTTGAGTGATTTCTCCTACTTTATACTTCTTCTTCTTCACTCAAATTCATAGGACAAGAGCGTACTCAACACATTGATTATGATGCAATATTATGGATGAAGAAAGCAATGATCAAATGAATGCATCAGTATTTCAAATATGTAGTGTGCATAATCTGGAAAATTGGCCATTTTGCATAGTGTACTTTTATGTTTTGTACTTTATGTATTTCTTATGCTAATACTTTTTAGCTTAACTTAATTGAACTGTTTTAATCTACACTTTTTCCAAAACAGTGTAATTATGCATACCCACACACAAGCCATTCTGCATGCCTGGTTGTATACCTTTTCTTTAAAGGAGCAGTAATGTTTTCCATGGATTTCACAGAGCGTCACTACTGACACTTCTTGGACTCAATAATTATTCAATTAATGCTCTGATTTATTTGGTCAATTTCATATCCCTCTTGGCATCACTTCAATATCCATTTTCAAAAGTGTGTCCATCTTAATAGGGTCACAGTGTTAATCCTTGTTCTCTGCTGCATATTTCACTGCTCTCAAATTGCATTCACGTCATTGTTTCCCCTTGTTTCTTTGCTTATTATCAGCATTCATCTTCCATTTAGGCTATGTTTTGTTTTCTTTCTACTTTGTATTGTACAGAAGGCACAGCAGGAGATTTAGAGCTCAAAGCTTCTCTTCCTCTGTAGCAGGTAAGTCTAACGATGGCAGTGAACATGGCCACGTCCGGACAAGTGGATCCATGCAGCAATATTTTAAATATAAAAACTCATTTTCAACCTATTTAAAATAAACCCATCTTGCTCTACTGTGTGCGCATATTATCAAACACACAGTGACTCTGAAAATGCAGAACATATATAATTGTATTCAAAATGATGCATTAAGTTAAAAGAAAAAAGTAGATCATGTGCTATTGGAAGCAGTTATTGGATGCTGAATAATCACTCATCTGTCACCTCTACTGGAGAGAGCATCTTTCTGTTTGGAGTAGCTCCTCCCAGTCCATTACTGAACTGTCAGCTGCTAAAATATTCCTCCTACTTACAATGAATTCTCCCAAACTCCAGCCCCTTCTTCAAGATTGTGCCACTCTGCAAAAGGATGGCAGCAGCACTTCTTGTACAGATGAAGGTTTGGGTTACTAAAAAAAGAGTAAGCATGATCACTTACAGAAACATAAATACATATTGACATGATGGAAGAATATACTGGTAAACACACAACATGTTAAAAGCAGTATACTGTATGTTTATGTTGATTTGGAAAAATATGTTGATGGGTTGCTAAAATAACTTGTTGACAAGCACAAACAGTCTGTTACATCTACTTGAAAGCGATAAAAACACAATAATATAATATACTACAATATTAAAATACATTCAAAAGAGCCATTGTTCATAATGAGTACATTCACTTTTGATACTTTGAGTACATTTTGTTGAATACTTATTTGCTTCTACTTAAGAAACATTAAGATTAAATAACTTTGACTTGTAATGGAGTATTTTTAGACAAACTATGTATAATTTCACTTAAGTAAATGATTTAAGTACTTCTTTCAGATCTGCCTTTTCCATACTAATAATGTAAGGGATAATGTTTATAGTGTTGCCTGTGTTACCCATGACCATAACCTGCTTTGAAGCGCAGTTTGACAACACTACAGGCCGACCTTTGCAAAAACAACACACAATGGTTAGCTTTCCATTCTTGCTTTGTCCGATCAGAGAGTTGTGTGTTTGTGTGTGTTATCCTCAGTTTATTGGATTTCTCAGTGGGAGCATGCTATCAGCGTCTGTTTCTTTCAGATTAATTATCCTCTTCCTAACTGCATCCCACAGAGAATTTAATTACACATATATATGTTTTTTTTCTCTAGTTGCCTCAATCAATTAGGCTTGAATTAACTGTAGAGGGTCTTTACAGAATTACAGTGTACAGTCGATAGATAATTAATAGTGAGAGTTTATATTCAAATGTTTAATTATGTGTGTGCAGTGCTTATTAAGTGTGGTATTATTATAGCAATAATAGTGATACAAATATAGGAAAGACACATCATGCTTTTAGTCAAATGAAACTTCAAGCTCACTACAAGATTGAACGTCGTTTCATATTAAGTATTACAAAAATTCTTTCAAACTAGTTCTTGGTAGTAGTTGCAGCTTACTTCTCAACCCTGAATGAAAATATTGGGCTGGGAAATGAGCAGATTGTGTTTTTGTTATAATATCGGACAAAAAAAAGATACTGCAGTAATATAGCAGGATCTACATGTTAATGTCTAGAAACAGTATTTTTATGCCCTTGAAACACCACCATCTAGTGAACACCTAACCAAATAGCAGTATACTTTTGATCTTTATGCAATATTCATATTACAGTGGAATTTGTTATAGTCAACCGTAACAACTCACAAAGGCATACTTCCTGTAAGTATAGCCTGTGACATGGCTTGTACACACGCATTGATGTGAATGGGTACGCCCATATACACACAAATGCGCACATTCACACACGCCATCAAATGGCCTGATCCCAGGAGCTGATGCAGAGGATTATTCTGGCTCTATAGACACAACACACGACTAAACCCGGTCTGCAGTTTCTTTGTTGGGACCTCATGCCGGAAACACTTTTTCTGCAGACTGAGGATTAAAGTTTACTTTTGTATAATGAGGTAAGCATGCAAGGCTGACCTGTAACTGCAAACACAGTATGGATTGGTGTAACAGATTTATTGTAATGTATATTCCTTTTTTAATTTTTTTTTATTAAACCTCTGTGGTCATGTATCAAAGATCCAGTTAACAAGATAAAATAACATAATCCTTTATTATTTCCACAGTAAGAACATTTTCAGGCAAGCCCTGCAACGCACACCTGTATCAGAGTGTTGATTGTTTGTTTTTGTTATTCAATTTAAGTTATTTAGCCAGGCTGCTCTGATCAGCATCAGTCCCTCATTATACATACAAAACGATATAATGTTTTATATATTCATGATAAAAACAATGGAGAAATGGTCAAAATGTACAATAACGCAAAATGTTGTCGGTCACATCTGTTTGTTAATGTATTATCAGTAGTACTGTGTAGTTTTCTCTGAGGTTCTACAAGGTGGTATTCAATGTTTTATTGGTACAAACAGGGCTAACCTGGAGTAGAGTTGTACTGAAATTCAGCAGTATTGTTCTTTTATGACACACCGACCTTTCACTACAATTCTATTTCTCAAGGCAGACAGTTGTGTGCCGCCTTCCAGTAAAGGAAACACTATTATTATATTAATCATTTAAACCATTAAACCTGTAAGGCAAACCTCAATGTTTGTTAAAAGGAAAAGAGATGTGTCATCTTAAAAGAATACCTAAGTAAAACTAGACCAAATAAAATAGAATATAAATGTAAATGTGATTAAAATAGAGGAGGAGATGGTTCATCAAATGCCACTATTCAAAGATTACTGCTTTTAGAAGACAGTATTTGTATAAATGCTTCAGCAATGTATATGCAAAAATGCATTGATGTAGTGAAAAGTGAGGACTAAAATGCATGATACAGACTGGTGATTCCTGTACTGATACCAATATTATTTTCTAAACCTAGACAACTTGGAGTGTATTTAACCAATGAGTTTACTGAGAATCCCTTAGCACAAAGCTGAGGTACTGTTATCGTTAACACCAGATTAATATACTTTGCAAACTGACTTAAAACTGACAAGATGCCAGTCAAACAGAGGTAAGTTCCTTCTGAGAATGTGGCACAAAATACTTTAAAGTTGAAATCAAATCTCCACAGTAGTAGTGGAATTTGCTATGACAAGGTCAGAGCAACAAAAAGTATAAATGTCATGTATCTAGTGCAACTAGTGTTGCTTTCTGAACCCCTCGATCCAAAGCCTTCAAACATCAACCTGTACACATGGCTCATTTTCCATGTTCAGCTGCAGTCCATGTTGAACTTTTCTTTGATTTCACAAACGTATCAGTCGTCTGGAATGGCTTCATCCATCCACTTCATGTAAGCCAGACTGCCGTCCTCCACCAGGAAGCTGAGGACTTCTGGGTTAGCGTAGGGATGGACAGACCTTGAAGGGACCCAGACAAATACAAAATGATACATACATTTTATTTATAAAAGATAAACACTACAGCAAGAACACATATCTATACGAGGCAAGGCAATTTTATGTTATAAGAAAATATATAAAAGAAACACAAAGCAGTATAAAGAGAATATGAAGATACACAATAGTCCCTTGGTGATATCGTTAAAAACTCTATGTCTGCAAAACTAATATGATGTTTTTTCTAATCTTTGCATCTAAATATTGAACAGAAGAGACCTTAGGATGGAGCCTTGGGGGACTCCATTTTATGTTCCTTCAAAAGGGATTCAAACCAGTTTAGCACTGTGACAGAAAGTCCCACAGAGCTTTCACTATGACTGACTGTGTTAAATGCAGCACTGAGATCTATTGATAAGAATGAAGCTTTTCAAAAGTCTGTGTTTAAGCAGACATGATTCAAGAGCTTAACAAGAGTAGTCTCAACGCTGAAGTGTGGTCCACATTCTGAGTATAAATTATTTATTGTTGTTCCTGCTTGGAACGTGTAAAGCTGTTAAAAAAACACTTTATTTCATTAGAAAGCTGTCTAGATTGTTCTTTTCCTAAGTTATTAGCGCATTTAAGAAAAAGCCTGGGAGTAGAGACTGTTGACTATTCGTAGATCTGATGCCATGCAGTCAAAATGATTAATGAGAAAAGCCTGTAGCCAGAATAACAAATCAGCAGGAGGAAGACTTCAAATGTTGCATGATTTCCTCCAAGGTTAATGATTGTGTCATGTTCAAATTGTGCTGCACTAATTGAATTGGTGCATGCAAGGACATCTCAGGCCCTGTACCTGGAGAAACTAGCAGCTTGTCAAATTGTATGAATTATGTCAGTGTACAAGGAGAAATTCATTAAATGATTAAGTGGATAGAATACCAAGGAGTACATATACAGGAGGGTTTGTTGAGAGCAAATCAATTACATATATTATTCATTTTGGCAATTATGTCAAAGAAGAAACTTCCTTTCAGTACTTAGACGGATCCATCAGCTGCTGACATTGAGGCGCTAAAGCTAAAGCTGCTGCAACTGGGCGCATCATCCATGGCCTGATAGATGGGTGTTTCAGAAAGAGTCCATAAGAACCATCGGCTTTAGATCTGCTTCAGTGGAGGCCCCCTGTCCTGAAAAGAGGCCTACATCCCCAGAACAGATTGAAGGTATCAGTAACTTTGATTCTTTTCAGTCCGCAGGTTTTGATATAAGTCTGTTGAACCTTTTGATCCCTCTGTTGGCAGTGGTACAGTCATACAAAATAAAACGGGGCTATCAGTGTGTCCATACCGTTATTTCTGCAAATATCTCTGGACCCCAAAATGTTCTCTTTTGTGTTACAGACCATAGCACCTGGAATGTAGTATGTTTTCTTAACTTTTGCCACAATGTGTTTTGATTTTAGCCTGGTTTATTTGTCTGTCTGTCTGTCTGACAGCAGGATTACTAAATAAAAGAATGGTCTTATTTTCACGACCCTTGGTGGAAGGGTGACGCATGGTGAAATGAAGAACCCTAATACATTTTAAAGCGAGTAAAAAACAAGGGTGAGCAAAAATTATGTTGTGTTTAAAACTAGTTTCGACTCTACTTCGAGCGATAGAATTACTAACAAAGCACTTATATACTGATAAAGGACTGGCTTATCTAAAGCCAGTTGAGTCGCACTTGAAATGTTTGGCTCTATGAAACCTGATGTACTTATATGATTCTGTTTTCTTCAAGGTTGTATCTTCCTGGTCGAATGTACTTATTGTAAGTTGCTTTGGATAAAAGCGTCAGCTAAATGCAATGTAATGTAATAAAATAATCACATGAATAGCCCGTCATGTCAGCACAACAGCTCATTCAACATGTTTTTAAGTGCTCTGAGTAATAACATACAAGACATCTTCTTTTTGAGCGTCCATGCCTTCTTCCACATTATCACAGGCTCATCAACACACCAAAGTCGGAAAAACAACTTCCTAACTCGGGAAATGGGACCATGAATGGTGAATGAATCATTTTCTTCGAAGAGATTTCCCTCTTTCTTCCACATGAGATATTTTCTCTTCATTTCCTATGTTATTTTTTGTGTTAATGGGGTAAGTGTGTTCCTCGTGCCCACCATTGGCTGTCCAACAGATGTCCTGGGTCCAAGTTAGCTCTACTAAATCCATACATCGTGCCATCTGCAGGAGTACAACCTTGTACTTATTTATGGCTTTTGCACACAGATTATCTCAGCAGGCAGCAATCAAATTCATTGCACATGAATTCACTGGTTTTGTCTCGGTGAGGCTAAGGAAAGGTGTGGTGTTATTAAAAGATAGCTGTCCATCTTGTTGAGTTAAGAGGCAGAAGACTTTGGAAAAGTGCCAGACGTTCAGAAAACTTTTCCAGCAAGAATATACTTTTTATCAAGCAATCTTGGGCAACAGTTTATGACAATCTGTGTTCTTCATCGATTGTGATAAGCCAAGAGGTATATTGCATTCCTCAAGAAAACTTTGTCAGTGGACCACTAAGTTTCTCTTTGGGGCACGCTCATTTTGTGGGTAGTGTTGCATAAATAATCCACCCTAAATATTTTAGTTGTAACAACAAGTCATAGGAAACTTCCTTGAAGGTTTTAGTTTGACACAAGTAAGAAAAAGTATGAAGAAGTCGCACAAATATCAGCAAAGCAGAAAGGAAGTGAGAAGCGCATCTGCACTGTAGCAAAGCAGGAAGCAGCAGTCATTAGGAGTTCCTGTTGATTTCAATTATTTTCAACCTGGACTTTTTAGCTCAGAAAGATGCCACTTCAACAACTTAGCACATGAACAAGTATAATTGTCTGATGATGCAATCACAACTGGCCAAACTGAAATGTGGATAATTAACTGTTTATGGCTTTTTGATGGTGCTGGAGAACATTTACCAACGTTAACAACTCAATAGATTACTCTTAAGCACACCAACAGTAAATTCAGATCAAGAAAAATATATTTTGCACAACACTGTTGATTACAATGCTGTAATTTGTTGAACATACAGTCATAGCTTTTGTTGCAATGGAATCATTTTAAGTACATAAATAATATGGTCCAAGTTGAAAATAACCGCAACAACGGTTGAAAGCATGTCTACAGGAGCATGCACAGATTTAACATGAAGTTAGTTTGAAACCTGGATGGTAATAAAAATAAAGTTAATAACTGTTACATAGAGCAACCTCTCACCTTACAAAATCCATGACCTGCTGGATCCTGGAGGTCTTTGTTTTCACCAGCTGCAACAACAGCGACATCTAATTTTACACTTCTGCAGTTTAACAGGAATTTCAGCATCCTTGTTGAGTACATGTGTATAGAAAAAGGATGTTGTTTGTCAGTAAGCTTACCATCAGAACTTCACTTGCATCTTGGATTTCACCCTTCCAGTAGTACCTAGAACCAGAAAAACCACTGACATTAAAAAAGCCCCATTTACTGCACATAAGTAACTGTGAATTACGACTAGACTCAAGAGTACCAGTGTAAGGGGCAGATCCTTGAATTGAGTAAAAAAGGTTTTGTAAAATGATTTCTGAAAGCTCTCAACATCAAACTGTGAAAAGCCATAATTATTATTGCGGCTGTGATTCACAGTGATGCCAGGCTTTTATGTTGCCATTTCTCTTGGATTGTGAAGGACAGTTCAAACCAAGCAGAAAACCTATATTTAAACATGTTAAATGCCAGAATAAATTAGGAATAAAACTACTTGAGCCTATAGCTAAAACTCCTTCAGTACTTTACCGACACATTAAAATCCCTATCACCTCCATTACCCCTAAACTACTGGAACCACATCCTCTATTTTTAGGCTAAACCTCTGTTCTTTAACACGTTTTATATGGCCTTTTCGAATGAGTTACTCTCCTCAGTTGCTCCTCCCTTGTTCCTTTTGTGGTTTACGCATTAACAGAAAAGCTAATCCATGAATTCAAATGACCGCTTGAAGGCTATCTGCCACTCAAGTGGTGGAAAAACGGATAAACGCATTGAGATGCAGCCCATTCACCTTGTGATTTCCTAGGTAACCAGTCATGTAGGTCAGAGAAACAACACGTGTTTAAGCATCTCTGCACATGTAAGCACTAAGATAGTCTGTTTGTGCCCCAGCTGGGTTCAAAGTTGTGTCATTGTAGGAGGTCAGTTTGATTTACATTGTAGAGGTCCTGGCGAGAATGTTGATACTGGCTGCCAGCCGCCTCTCCATAATCACCCTGGAAAAAAGACAGAATAGTAGGGAGCATGGATGGAAACGTAGCGGGGTAGATATGGAAAAAGGAAAAAGAGACAAATTAAACACTTACAGACCACCAGCTGTTTATTAATTACTGCATGAAACTGAGCCCATCATTATGTTGCTCTTTAAGCAGGCCGCAGGAAAGACTTAATGCACAAAAACTCTGAAAGATTGCAAACTTTGCTTTCTGCTGCTCAGCCGACAGTATTACCAGCTCAGCCGTGCCCCCTCCTGTGAAGCCGGTGATTTACATATCCGGCGCCTGCCCAGTGCACCGCTTACTTCTAACTTGACATGTGCTATATTGACAGAGGAGATGAGAGTGCAAACACAACACTGTATCAGTGGGTTTGACAGGGATGTATCTCTCAGTCAAAACTTACTGTATGTCTGGTGGACCTACTTTCAATTATTTAAATCACCTTGAGCCTTCACACTGTAGTTTAGTTTTTGATCCCACCAAGGTCAAGAAAGTTTACATTGTTGCATGTCAGTTAACTTGATGATTTGACAGTTTTGGCAACTGTCATCCGGCCTTTTCAGGACACAGGTGGGGACATCAAATCTCTGCTGACAGAAGTTTTTGCAGTACTTTGATGCTTTTGTTGATAACGTATTTAGATGTGCACACCTCCGACACACCACTTCATTCACTTTCATTTCTGTGAAGTTAATATGAAGCTTGGGGCAGCAGATGGCTAGCTTAGCTTAGCATGAGGTTGGCTATAGCTCAGGGGTTAGCATGATATACAAATCAGGGGGTGGGCAGTTTGATCTCACCTCCTGACAACATGTCAGTGTCCTTGGGCAAGATACCTAACCCCAAATTGCTCCCGTAGGCATGTCTATGGTATTGAATGTATGTGGCTTTGGGTAAAAGCCTCAGCTAAACAATATGTAATGTAATGTAATAAGGACTTGCAACAAGGTGGAAACCGGCATTAAAATATTAAACAAAAAGTGAGATTTGAGGAATAATTTTCACTTCTGCTTCACAGTTTAAACAAACAAGATATGAGATGATAAGTAAATCAGTGACCTTAAGATGACCCAAAATGTTGCACTGTGCCTTTGAGCTAAGTCATTTAACATCACTCATCAAAGCCATGTGTTTCCATTTGCTTAAACATCAATAATACATTCTTTAATCAGTACATTCATACAGACTGTAAAAAGTGACCTGCTCCTGTACCTGCCAATGTCTTTAGCTGCCAGTTCGTTGGGGCTGTTGATAAGAAGAAGGGAGTGGTGGCCTGGTGCGTAGCTCCCTGTGAAGGCTGAATGAAGCTGGACCCCAATGGACCACAACCCGGGGTACATGGACACGGACAGGACCAAGAGCTGTATAAATCAAATCAAATCAAAATGTATTATAGCCCCAAATCACAACAAATGCCTCAAAGGGCTGTGCAAAGCAAACAAAGGCAACTGACAAAAACAAAATAAAAACGTCATAGCATAGTATATATAGAGAGGGCAGAATGCAACAGAGTGTTAAATAAGTCAGTCACAACTCACAAGAGACTTGAAGAACTTGTGTCTTGCATAATGTAATATTTGCAGCCTATCTGACATAAATGATTTGGACATGTTGCTGTTTCACGTTATTTCATGCTTGGACTCAGCAAAGTCATAACTCAATTTAATTATCTTCTGCCCTCTGAAAGGATTGCCATGTTTGGATTGGATTGGATTCAGTATTTATGCTCTTATTATTTGGCGCAGATACATGAGTATAGGCCTTGGCTTGGATGCAGTGACCAATTTATAATCTGTCCTACTTCTCTGCACAGCACAGCACAGCACTGGTCACGCCCAGAGCTGTGGGGTCAACACAAATATTTCAGAATAAATGCAATTAATATTTGTTTTGCATTTCAGATGTCAACAAAAAAAACAAGTTTTCTAAGTTTTTATACTGAGAATGTATTAAACTAAGTTGTAACTCTTACCAAACATGACATGAGCAGCACTGAGCGAAACCCAGAGAAAAATACTTCTTTATGGCATCGCTGGAACAGCCACTCCATCCTGCTAGTGGCAACAAATGTCATTCCCGGACTCCGGTTGCTGCATGTAATGAGGGACAAACTTATTTCATAAAACTGCTGAGACTCACTGCGGAGATGATTAGTGTTCCGTCATTTTTATGAGCATGTCTCCCCCCGGTTAAACGGATGCTTTGTGAGAGAAACACATTCAGAAATCTCATTACCTTTACACAAGAAGTGCATTGTGTTGACAGGTACTTGAGGTCGGATGGTCAAAGGCAGAGATAAATCTACGCGCACTGTAATTGGTTGCATGACACTTCCTGACAAGTCGGCGACCAATCACATCGCCGCTTCACCCTCCGCTGCCCTGCCTCCAGATCCTGGTCATAATCGGCTTTAGTGTCTTACCGTGTAAACACAGCTTTTATAGACTCGCAGCGCACATTGTGAAGCTGGAAGCACATTAAATAAGTCACATTGCTTTCATGGATCTCCTTCAATGGTGGAAATTGAAAATAAACTGTCGTGATACATTATAGTCCTAAAGATATTAAACTACAATTCATATTGAATTTCAAATTCAGACTACATTATTTTTACACAGGAATCAGTAGCTTTGTTTTTAAAGCCAAAGTTCACAACATACAAGATTGTAAAGTAAATTATCTCCAGTGGTGGAAGAAGAAGTAAGATTATTGTAAAAGTAGAACAAGTTTGGTCTTAAAATACTATACTAATAAGTCCCAAATTGAAAATGTAACGTAAGAAGTACAGAAGTATTATCAATAAAATGTACTTCAAGTAGCAAAAGTTAAAGTTATCAAAATGCATAATAGATATTTTTACAGTAATAGATTATTTTAGAATATTATGTTATCTTGTTTTTATTAAGTACATGCAGGGGAGTTTAAAGGCTTTCGTTTTTCAATGTGGAGCCTACTTATAACCATTTACGTAAAATACTAGGTAGCATAAAAAACTATAATATAATAATAATAATAATACATTTAATTTCTAAGCACTTTTTCAGGTGCTCTAAGAAAAGTTACAGTGGTTTATTGTGTTACAATTACTCAAGTTAAGTACAAGTATGTCAAAATACAATTTAAGTACAGCACTTGAGTACATTTATTTAGCTGCGTTACATCATTGACTCAATATCTTGTCCACTGCTTCCTACAATTTTACTGTGTTATTTTGCTGCTATAACTGTAATAACTGGTTTTAATCAATATGACGACACAATGTTTGGTCCACATATACCTTATTATTCATGCGTGGGAAAACAACACAACATAATCAACTGTCTTCACAAAGTCTCAATAGATTATGGGACATCCAAGACAGTAATAATGTCAAATAATGATGCACATGTAAGGGAGACTTGTTGCAAACTAATGTAACTACTAGAGTAGAGTATGTATATTAGCCTTGATTGGCATGCACTAATTAACCCTGATAACACAAATGTGTGTTTATTAGCAGGGATTATTCTGTAACAAGATGTAAACCAAAACACAGCACAGAAACAACACCTGAGTCAAAGAGAAATACTTCTGTCACCTGTTGTTAAAGTGAGAACAACCAGAGTTTCTGATCTCAGATCCAGTCTCTTGGCAAAAGTCCAATGAGATTCAAACACACATCTACTGTTGAAGGCACACACACCATCTCTGCCACACTGATGCAACTTTCAGATGATTTAAACTGAAAAGTCAAGCACCCAGCTTGGCTGCATACGAATGAGGAAGATTTAGGCGAACTAGAATCTTTTACAAAAATGAATAATTCAGAGGTGAATTGTTGAAAAGAAAACAGACCAAGTGGATTCGGCCTGGCATTTTATTGCCAAACACCAGATGGGAAACTTGACGTGAGTGAGAAAAATTAATCAATAAACTTCACGTAAGTCTTGCAGCTATAAAAAGTGTTGGTTATAAGTTGGAATTTTAATGGGGTGTGTACTGACAAAAAGTCAGTTTCCAGAAGCTTTGGATGTTTAAATAAAGTGTTTCTACACCGGTTGTCCACATGGGGGAGATGTGGGTCCATGCATTTATCTCTTTATCCCCTCCTATCATCGTGAATACATACAATCCAGAGTGTTCATTCTATAAAACTCCCATCTACTGAAGGAAAATGTAAAAAGCTTCAACAAAGCAACTTGCCTGACTCATAGTCCTTATTTTATTTTTTTACCTGTTCCCCGCCAGACGTTGTCCCTCATCGGATACAACACAGATCACAGAGCGGACAGCAGGGGGCGCCAAGGGAGTCAGCTTCAGAACAAACCAATTTATTTCCCTAGCTCACACAGGCTTCATTTAAGAGCCCATCAGAGGGCTCCAATAGAGCCACTTAAGCCACTGTTCCCCAACATGAAAGAAGGCATGCAACCAAAATAGAGAGATAGGAAGAAAGGCAGCGAAGAGGCGTTTGATCTGCTTGTTCTGGGGCATTACTCAGAGGGGTTCACTTCCGCTTAGGAGCGCTGAGGCCTGTTTGTCCCTTAGAAGTCTAATGTGAAAAATAAGATACATTTGATTTCTGTCGATGCTTCTTGCTGTCTGTGTATAATGAGGCCACAAGGTCCACAGTAAGAGCAGAAAAGAGAAAATGAGACACGAAAACAGGAAAAGCACAAAGGCTTCTGGAAAAGGGGGCCTTGCCTGATTCACCGTTAAACTGCGACTGTCTTTTGGTTGGATCAATGAAGTTGCCTTGCTGTGAAAGAAAAATAAATCAATCAGGGAGATGAATAGAGTGAGGTGTGTGAACATGGACAGGGAGAGGTTATAGAGAATGGAAACTCCGAAGGTCTGCTGTATCGCCCTTTCTGTGAGGCACTGCCATTACTGCACTGGATGGGTGGAGGAGGGTGTGGAGACAGAGAGTGTGCTCTCTACTGGACAGAGGTCAGATAAGTCCTAATGAAGGCACTCTCCAGCCTGCGATTACCTCTAAAGGAAGAGACTGGTCCTCCCAAAGAGGTTAATTAAAAAAGTCGACGGACCGAGCAGGGAAGTGTCTCCATCACCACGGTGAACTCCGGTGACCGCTCCATCTGTGAGCACAGGGCCATCCATCACTGCTGATTCCTGGCTCTGGCTCCTGTTGGTGCGCTAAAAACACAGAAGTATATGTAGCAGCGCCACAACTCTGACAAGCAGCAGATATACAACAACATAGGTATTACTGCCGAGATATCCCCTGCTCAAGTCCCTCAGGTAAGGAAACTTCTCCCCTCTCAGGGATCACACAAACACTGTATCCTCCCTCCATTCTGTCCAGCCATCTTCTGCTTGCTGCTCTCTATGTCACAACTAGTGGAGCACCCAAGGCTATTTGTCAAAGCTGAACTGTCATGTTGTTTATTTCCTCTGTGCGCTCCAGAAGAGATTGCAAAAATAGATTACTTATGTTTGTTTAGCAACAGAAGCACACATATCGAAAGCTGTTGGTAACCATGGAGAAAGAAGAGCATTACCTTCCTTTGACACAGCATGAAAGAATCAACCATCAATGGAATAAATCCCTTCAGCAATCCCTTCTGAGAAGAAAGATTAGTCATCCCTATTTCCCTAGTAAGTGTGGACAAAGGTGTGATAGTGGGCAAATACACAGTAAGGGATGGTGGACTGGGGGAGAAGAAGAGAGACAGAGATAAATGGAGCGTTTCAGTTGATTGGCTCTGAGAGAGGACAGAGAGCCTGGAGCAATCTTACTGGAAAAAGTTAAACATTTTCATAAATCTGTTCTCGTGGAGTTCACATGCAGCGGTGGGAGGCTTAAATCACGTCAAGCTTGATTGGTTGAGAGGGAGATCCGAGGCTGAACGCGAGGAGGGGGGTGTTCACCTCCAATGCTGAAAACCCTGTGCTTCCTCATTACACTTTCCTCACCGAGCCGTCTGCAGCAGAACCATTCCTCGCGCTGACGCAGGTAGAATGAGCTCATTCCTTCTCCATTCACAAGCTGAGTGCACCCAAATTCAGAGAAGGGAGACGCATAATAAGTTCAGACTCCAAGTTAGAGTGCCTGCAGGCAACAAAGTGGAGGATGAACAGTGGAGACTTGATGGAAGAAGAGTGTTTGTGTGTGTGCGCGTGTGTGTGTGTGTGTGTGTGTGTGTGTGTGTGTGTGTGTGTGTGTGTGTGTGTGTGTGTGTGTGTATAAACCTCAGACACTCGGAAAATGGCATTATGGAAATGCAGGAATCACCATGAAAAGGGCAGCCAGAGGCATGCTTAGGGCAAGATTTTATATACAGCACCTAATCAGCCAACCAACAGCCTGCGCTCCTATTTACCCTGTTTATAAGTCACCCCTAAACCTGCAACCACTTCATCTACATAATCTCATCTCCTCCCTCTTCATGTCACACAGTCAGCCAATTCCTAGTATCACATTTTCCTCTGGGGCTTTTTCCCCTGCCATGCTAACTCTCCTGTCATGTGAGATCATGCCCCTACCTGTCCTGCAATAATGTCTGTTAACCCCAAACCCAATAACCTGACCTTGCCCACCCACCTACACACCTGTTACCACCTCCAATAAGCTCCGTGTCATATCTACCAATAGACCACTTCTGTTCATTCCCTGCCAGATCTGTGATGCTTCAAAACTCTGCCTTGATTTAGCTTGTTATGACAACCAGCCTGTCTTTTGGTAACCTGATCAAGAGAGATGATCATTGGATACTGTGAGTTTTCATCATTACCCTTGCCTCCATATTTTATACCTTTATTAGACTGGTCTTGGGTTCACTTTATATAATGCTGGGTCACATTAAATTTCCTTTAGCTGACACTTTTCTTTTCAAAGCCAATTACAATAATTGTAAAAACCATTAAGAATCAAATTCAGAACAGCATGACACCTGCAAGTATAAATTTGCTTGAAATAAGCCAAACCATTATAGGTAATAGTGCATTAGCTTCAAATGACTTGAAACTTTTAAGAACCATGACATTTTCTTTGATTGTGGCCAAAGTGTAGTTGAAACATTATCTTTAATAAAAGGATAAACTCATCAGGAAAATGTTTAATTTCGAGAGAAGTGAGGTAATTTTCTCATTGACTTCTATACAATCAGATCTTTCAGCCACAAGTGGAGTGTTCAAGAGAATGCAAGTTTACTGAACATTTCATACCTGGAGGTTACCACGTGGTTCAAACTAGTTTTCATACTGCAGTCTCTCAGGTAAGAAAGCAGAAGCTTCTTT